ATGTTCCAACAGAGCAGCAACATAATTGACACATAAACTCACAATAAAATATTTCACATATATATATATATATATATTTCTCACAGCACTTATAAATCAATAAAATTATTTAATTTGCTACTCCGTGTCCAAGCAGCAGTGATCGCACTTCGAGTAAAATTAATAGAACTATCGACATCGGCATTTGTCGACAGCCGCCACCATTTCGTTGCGATAGTTCACTAAAGATCAGAGCGCGCAACTATCGTACATTCAAAATAATACTGATAGTTGAACAAATTAAATAAAACTTTCCATTACAATTAAAAATTAAAATTTTGAAAAAAAAATTTTAATTTTAATGTATATTTTATTTAATATTTGGCCATAAATAGTTTATTTTATTTTCATTTATTTGTTTCTTTCGTGCACTTTTTTAAATTTTTGGTCCAATTATTTCTAGTTTCTTGTATTGTCTTGTTGTTCGATTTCTTTTTTATATTCCCCACTTTATTATTATTTTTATTTTAAAATTACTATTTCCTACGTGCTCAAAAGCGAAACTCGTTTTATTTTGTCTATGGACTTTCGGTTCGGTTATCAAGCCCGGCCTTCGCTGTCAACATTCCAAGATTTGCATAACGCGCTATCTTAGCAGAACTCCATGTCTGATCGTTCGGGTCGAACGCAACTTAAGGTACCCGTTTCGCGTTTGATTAAACACAGTGCTTCCGCATCTCCAATTCCGTCCGGAAAACCACAGGCCACCAGCACTTTCAAGCGCAGTCCGGTCGATATCCGGTCCAGTCCGAAGCCCGCAAGTCCAGTCAATATGTCTCTGTCCGATCTCATCGCGGCTGCGGATAGGCTAATTAAATTTAAAGCCGGCATTGACGGTCCCGGAGATTCTAGCGCCACCCAGGCGGCTCAGCTCCGGGCCTTCGAGATCCGCCGAGATCGGGTCAGGGCCTTGTGGGCTGATGCTGAGCAGCAATATAAGGTCTGTGCCAGAGCGTTGAACCAAGCAACGAGCAGTGGCGAAGTTGAAGCCATTGAGGCCAAATTCAACAACTGCTACACTGTGTATGAGCGGTGTACGACGCACCTGGGGGTGCAAATCGACGCACTTTCCGCATCGAGTACACCGCCCGCTCCTATGTCCGCTACTTTCGCCTCGTCTGGAGGCTGTCACTTTCCACCCGTTGATACGGAAGTGTTCCACGGCGACTACTTGCGCTGGCCAACATTCCGCGACCTTTTTACTGAGATTTATATACAGAAATGCAAATGCCTTAGTCGCAGAGTATTCTCTCACAAACGACGGCTCGAGAATAAGCGGCTGTTAGTCAACAGCCAGCTTAAAATCCTGCTCAACCTCTCCAAAGTCATCAAGGAATCAGACTCAGCTCTCAGAGAGTTGCATGGCACCATTCATAGATGCGTCAGATCACACTCGATCTCTCTGGGAGCATTCACTGACACAAAAAACAGAAATTCCAGCCTGGCAGGACGTTAGTTACTTTCTTAGCGAGCGTGCTCTTGCTCTCGAGGTTATGGAAGGTGATCGTTCTGCACCAACAGGGCGACATAACACCCTACTCCATAGGGACAATACTCCTCGGACTGCTGCTGCATCCGCAACAGCTATAGCCCCAATTCGTACGCAACCTATGTCCAACGTCCAAGCGTATCTGACTGCCAACACGCGAGGTGTCCTCCTCGGCACGGCGGTAATCAACATATGCCATTCCGGAGCAATCTATCCCGCCCGTGCTTTAGTCGACTCAGGATCCGAAGAAACTTTCATTTCTGAGCGACTATTCCGCAAAATCAAGTTGCCTTTCAAATCCGTGCAGACTTAAGTTTCCAACTTGAATCAAGCACTTACAGATCATGCACAAAAGCTATGCAGCTTTGACATTGGTTCTGCTTCGAAGCCGCGACTACGAATCGAAGCTTCTGCTCTCGTCCTTCCAAAACTTGCCGGTAAACTCCATTGATCTCCAATTCCACAACTCTTATTGAACCAGCTTCCGAATATTCAGCTAGCTGATCCCGAGTTCTACAAGAGTTCAGAAATTGATGTCCTTATAGGTGGGGATATCCTTTCGACTGTTATTCAGGGAGGTTACCATCCGAATATCTGTGGATCTCTTCTAGGTCTAGAGACTGTTTTCGGTTAGGTACTGACTGGCCCACTTTCACGAACTTCACCGGAAATGGCCTCCTCCTTCACAACTCAAGTCTCTGTTCCGGGAGAGACGAAACTTGAGATTCCGACAACCCACTCAGTTAATAACATAACCCAGTTCTCCTACTGGTTCGCTGTACTTAGCGCCCCGCTGAGTACTTCGTCTGCCCTCCACTGGTCTCTTGCCACTCCTGGTATTGACACTTGTGTTTTATATATGTATATCTTCACACTTTTATACGAGCTGAACAGCTACCATCCTACAAATAAAGACGAGGAAACTACAACCCGGTCTTTTTACTTATCGGTGACGCCACCACTCCAACAATGTATATAATGGAATGAACTGAGACGCCTCTCGAAAGCTGCAATGATATGGCCAAAATAGCCAATATGCCAGCAGGAATGGCAGCAGTATTGTTTATTTATGCCAATTTACCTACACATTCAAATATAGTACATGTTGAACCTTCATCAATAAAGATGCCAGTGTTGCCGTTTTGGCTTATTTTCGGTCAGATCTGGCTTATTTTGAAGTGCGATTGCTGAAATAATTTAGAAATCGCGGATAGCGGAAAATCTGGTTTATTTATGAATCGAATCAGCTAATACATATTTTGTTTAATATCTGATATTAGTTACCGATTAATAGACAAACTAACAAGCTGGCAACTATTAAAGGCTAACATCACAAGTTATACAATACTTTCAGCTCTAACATATATTGGTTGCTGTTGTGCTTCGCATACATTCGTTACCTTGGTGGAATGCCGAAGAAAGGGTCTTTAGCCAAGTCAATTTAATGAAATATTAAATAAGAAATAGGATGAACATTGATACGTTAAACTCAATATCAACCATAAGGTAAAGGTTTAAAGAATAGCAGTCTCATTAAAACAGAAACTAATATTTTTTTAAATTTACATCCGAATTGAGCCGAGATGATGATATTTTGATTACAGTTTTTCTCAACAATTTATCATCAATGTAAACATTTAAAATGTATAATGTTAAATTACCTATTATTTTCGTTTTGTTTTTATGAGTATGAAATGTTTGTTACAACATTTGTACGTATAAAAAAAGAAACAATTCTAATATATTAGCTTATTTTTCAGCTAATTGTTTCTGGGATTAAGCTTATTTTTGTTTATCTTTTGTCTTGATTCAGCTATTTTTTCTCGGAAAAAACGGCAACACTGCTGCTCACACCTGCTGTCATGTCAGAAACGTCCGGTAGAATGAAATAAAATTTGTGTATTAATTGTCAAGTCGAAAACTTAGTATGGTTATGAGTATTGAAACCTAAGGAAACAAATAATCAGCCTGATTGAATTTTGTTCGCGATGATCCGAGCTCTTTCCCTTTGAAGTGAAGGGTATACCTAAATCATAAAGGCGTTTGTCACGCTCATGCAAACAAAATGTAAGCGTTTGTATGGTTATTCGTGGGAAGGGTATGAAAGCGTTGATACTCATGGAAATGCTTTCGCGACGAGTGTGCACACAGACACACACACTTGCAGTCTCTGGAAACATGAGCATTAGTGGCCTGTGTGCGTAACTCTTGCTGCTTGTAGTAATTTTAAAGCCCAGCATTTGCATTTGGTCGATTTTGTGCTCACAAACATACATGGCATAACCTACTAACACTCAATCGTGCCCGAACCTAAAAGTGAAGAGCTGAGCAAATTCGAAGTAGTCTGGGAGATAATTCCCGAAAAAAAAGTGTGCAAAACGCTTTACACTACTTGTCTAATGTTTCTAACAGTGACAGCTGTTTTTTAGGCATGTGGCAACCAAGGTGACCGAATATGGTATTTTAAATACTTTTTGGTATTTTATCAGCTCCGATTTTGCTCAAAAGTATTTTAATGGTATATAGGTATTTAGTAGCATTTTTCTTCGATTTTATGGTATTATATGGTATTTTCGGTTTGGTCACTCTTTAAGTCTTAATGAATCGAATGCTTAATGTTTAAGACTATAATAATAAGCAAAATATAGAGCTGAGTGGGAGACTATGCCGGAAAATGAAAAATGGCTGGGAAGGAGCGCTAATAATATGGATGCGCACTGCAAAGCGTGCCAGACTAACATTTTGAGTAGGCTGGCGTCACTTAAGCAGCATGCGGCTACACAAAAACAAAGATTTAATAATTTTGCCCGTTTCTAATCCGTCGTGTGAACGCATATTCTCTCAAATTAAGCGTTTAATCAAAACGAAAAATCGAAACCGCTTTAAAAATGTAAATATATCACATATATTACATGTACAATAATCATTGCGCGAAAATGGGTGCAATAATTTTAAGCCCAGTGAACAAGTGTTATGTAAAGATTTCACCAAATTGAATTTAAGCTGCTCTGACGAAGAAGGCTAGTAAATATAATTAAATGATCTTAAGAGAAACTAGCAAGACTGAACAAAGAAGTTCCTTTATTATTTTATTTTAAGAAAATGTTACAAAATGAATTTTAAGCATTTAATTAATTTTAAGACTTTAAATATATATTGGAATATGGAATTGAATACGAATGCATATTGTTCTCGTTTTATGTTGGACTGAAATATTATTAATTTTTTAAAATGAAATAAACAACAAACATTTTTTGCAATGGGAAAACCCTTATTTTTTCTATATATAATAAGTCAGTTATTATTTTATTATAATTTGAATTTCCAGACGATTTATTTGTTATGGTATTTATAGTGGTATTTTGTAAAATATGAAATAGTATTTTATAGTATATTTTTGAGACCAAATTGGTATTTTTCGTTTGGTCCGGCGCGGTCACCCTGGTGGCAACGCCAGAATGTTGTTTCATCCGAATGATTTTTCATGGGACAAAAATATTTGAATGTCTGTCTATTATTTGATTCTTATCGTGATTTTTTTTTTTATAGCAAATTGAATGGTTGTTAGAACGGCTGCCACTTTTTGCGTGAAATCACAGTATCGCAGTTACAATCATAAAATGCATTTTAAAAGGTCAAAGATAATAAACAAACCGTACCACAGTAGCAACTACAATAAAAATCGTATTAAAAATTCAAAGAGAAAAAAAACTTTAAAAGCTCAAAGAGTAGAAACACACAGTGCCAAAGCTACAAAAATAAAAACATCGCTTTAAAAGCTCAAAAACAAAACAAAAACTATGAACGGTTCTTTCAGTTTCATTCTATAAGTTGACTGCTTTGGTAATTTCCTCACATAAATCTGCTATATACATACATACATATGTTTTTGGCGCAAGAGTAATTGTACGGCACGTTTCACGTTCATAAAAATCACATTTGGAGGTATGCGAGTTCACGTTAATTAATGAGTGTATTTATGTACTATACTATACTATATTATATATATTATATAGATTTGTATATGTATATATATATGTACATATGTACACGTATTGCGTACATTCATTTGTAATTCAACAGTTAAATAATATAAAAAATTCTTAAGTTTTTTTTATTTTTTTAAAAGCCAATTAAACTACAAAAATCCCGAAATTCACTTATGTATGTATGTATATTTGAAATTTAATTTGATCGAGACACGCTCATGATCCGTGCTAATCAAAAGTTTATTGGTGTCAATTGTGAAAACAATAACAAATAGCCGAGAGTGCTCGATGGGTAACCCTGCGAAAAACTGATATTTCATGTACAGTATACCAATAATGTCTTCGTACAGCAGCAACTTGTATTATTGGAAGCGAAGAAGACTTTAGATACAAAGTCCTGGTCTAAATCCTATATAGTATGGTTGGTATTTGTAAATTAAGATTAATATATGTATAAAATCATAAAACTGTATCAAAACTTTGGTAACTTTCTTACTACACATATACATATCTTAGTCGCTTTCCACGAAATAAGTATATGTGGTACAGTCTTATTATCTTAATTTCCAAAATGTATTAGTTCTGTTTGTATACATATGTATGTATATAAATAGTTACTTTATCAATTATTCTTGTGATTATCATTCGATCTACATACATATGTATGTACAATGCATATTGTTCTCTTTCAGCGTTGATAACTAATGTTTTTATACCCTGAGTTGATTTAGCCCTGTCCGTCTGTCTGTCTAGAGACTTAAAATTTTTTTTCCTGGATCCGTGTATATTACGCGCATATCGAGTTTTTCTTCCAAAATCGATAAATATCGATACTTTCGATATTTTGTAATCGATTAAAAACCTTATAGAAAACTAATTATTTAACCCTCTAAGACTACTTTCTAAAATAAAGGCAGAAATTAGTCCGAATAATTTTTTTTTAAGTAAATCGGGGCCCCTGAGCTCAAATATGAACTCAGAAAAAAATCTAGAAGCTTTCGTTTACTTGGAAGGTGAGAAAATGTAAATAAGTGCCTCAAGGCACTCTTGGGGCTTAAAGGGTAAAAAAGTAGTTTCCAAATAAATTGATTTATATATATATATATATATATAATAAATAAAATAAAACAAATATTAAAAAAAAAAATTATATATATATATATATATATATATATATATATATAATTTTTTTTTTAATATTTGTTTTATTTTATATATATATATATATATTATCATTATATTTTTATTATATACATTTTATTTGTATCGATGATACTCAGCAAAACAATTTTTGCTGGCCGAGCAGCATAAATGCAGTTTGCATTTTGTGAAAATGCACTGCGTTTGTGAAGTTTTGCAGTGCTTGCACTATCTTTTTCCCGTATTGCGATCCAACCACTCTGGAAAATGGTTCTGAAGGTCACACCTTAAGTCCATTATTGGGTGATTTGATTTTTGACCTTGTTTAAGTTGTCGCTGCAAGGATCGCTGAGAAATTGGCGACTGCATAGTATGTGATGGCGACCGAGTTGATCGCGCAGACAAAGTTGCCTTGTTGTCTTTCCACAGTACGTTACTAATTTCTACTCCATATGAGGAGTTTTCAGATCAGTTAATTTTGATGGCAACGAAGAGTCGCCTTGAAAAGCTACATTGTTTATGTGCAATTGCATTGATTGATGTCGCCATATAACTTTACTGGGTTCCTTTTTAATCGATTTAATATCTAATGAAATAAAATAATGAGTTGTATTATAATTCAAAGTAATGACTAGAGGCCTGCACGGGTTGCTTGTGGTCGACTTCCAAATAAACTGATACTTGCAAGTGTTTGAGCACACCAAGCATTGCTGCAAAACGAAACGAATGGTACTCGAAGTCGCCAAGTATTCTGTTTTACTTTACTTCCTTCGCTTTAAGCAGAGTAAAACAAAAACCTTGACAAACGAAACGAAACAAACCGAAAAGCGAGTAACGTCACAAAAAAATCGTACGGTACTTTTACTCCGCTTTGATCGCCGTTGCTGAGCAAAAATCAGGCTAGAATTGGCTAAAAATTGAAAATAAATGCTGGAATAGCAACCTAGATTATAAAAACTAACTGATATTTATAGAAACTAACATTTTTCTCTTTTTTGCTGAAATGCACAATGTTTTATAGTCTACTCAGATGGGTTTAACGTTTTAGAGTGGTGGAATTTGAATAAAGAACATTATCCACTACTTTTTAAAGTAAGCTGTAAAATTTTATGCATTCCCGCCAGCAGTGCTTCGTCTGAAAGGGCTTTCTCTCAGGCCCGGTTATTAATTTCCGAAAAGAGAAGCAATATTGCCACAAACAGCGCCATGATTAATGAAGTTATGGTTTTAAACTTCAATTTAAAAAAAAAAACAAGTAAGAAAGCTCTAGTCGAGACTGCTCGACTACGAGATCCCCTGAACCCTTGGAGCAATAGATATTTCAATACTTTTTCGCGACTTTTAGCTTACACAAAAACACACACACACACACACACACACGCACGTACGCACACACAGGTATACATACACACACACGCATACAGACACACATACACACACACACGCATACAGACACAAACGCATACACACACACACATACACACACACATACACATACAAGCAACCGCGCATAAACACGCATGGGCTGCAGTGTGCGCTTACTATGAGAACTTAATTGTTTACTAACTTTTTTTATGGACGTACGATCTTCATGAAACTTTTAGATTATGATTATAACATGAATATGCATGTAATTGCCAAAGCACAAGTCTCTAGTATTTGAAATACGCTTTTTACAAAAGTGAGGGTGAGGGGGTGAATTTAGAGGTGGGGGGTAAATTTTAACAAAAACCGAAATTGTATAAATTGCATATAAGCATACATTAAAAATTTGGAGACTCTAGCAATAAAGGTGTAGAAGATATAATTTTATAACTGGGTTTCGATAAGGTTTTTTATCGATAAAAAAATATCGAGATGAGTTATCGATTTTTAATGATAAACTTGATATGCGCGCTGTAATTACGGACATTTTAAAAAAAAGTTGAAGTTTCTAGCTCTTATATCTTCTGAAATCGACGCGTTCATACATACGGACAGACGGACAGACGGACAGACGGACAGAAGGACGGACGGACAGACGGACAGACAGACGGACAGGGCCAAATCAACTCAGCTCGTCACCCTGATCAAGAATATATATACTTTGTGGGGTCTGCCACGCCTCCTTCTCCCTGTTACATACATTTCAACAAAACCATTATACCCTGATTTCCCATTGAAAATGGGTTCAGGGTATAAATATATATAAATATTTGTTAAACAAGTAAGAGGACTCTAGTCGAGACTGCTCGACTAGGAGATACCCTAAACCCTCTAATCTGATATTCACTCTGCACTTCTTTTCGGCACACATACATACACACGCACGTATTAGAACGCGCTCTGCTAACTGCGCTTGGGCTGCGCTGTAGTGTGGGCAACATTATAAGAATTTCTTTGTTGAATAATTTAATTTCTAGACGTACAATCTTAATGAAACTTTCAGAACATAATTATAATGTTCAAATGTATGTACATTCTAAAGCACAAGTCTCTAGTACTTGAAATACGTCTTTTACAAAGGTGATGGTGAGGGGGTGGATATAAGGGTGGGGGGAAAATTACAACAAAAATCGAAATTATAAAAAATATATATAAGTCTACATTTAAAATTTGGAAGCTCTAGCTCTAAAGGTGTAGGAGATATAATTAAATAACTAGCATTCGATAAGGTTTTTGATCGATAATAAAATATCGGGAGTAGTTATCGATATTTAAAGAAAAACTTGATATGCGCGTGATATACACGGACCTAGGAAAAAAAATTTCAAGTCTCTAGCTCTTATATCTTCTGAAATCGACGCGTTCATACATACGGACGGACGGACGGACAGACAGACGGACAGGGCCAAATCGACTTAGCTCGTCGCCCTGATCAAGAATATATATACTTTGTGGGGTCTGCCACGGCTCCTTCTGCCTGTTACATACTTTTAACAAAACCATTATACCCTGATTTCCCATTTTCAATGGGTTCAGGGTATAAAAATATGTAATGGCTAAGATTATAAAATTACGTTTATATAAATAAAATGTTGTTATTAATTTTATTTCTAAACAAGTAAGAAAGCTCTAGTCGAGACTGCTCGACTACGAGATCCCCTGAACCCTTGGAGCAATAGATATTTCAATAATTCTTCGCGTCTTTCAGCTTATACAAGAAACACGCACACACACACACACACGCACGTACGCACACACAGGCATACATACACACATGCATACAGACACAAACGCATACACACACTCACATACACACATACACACACAAACACATTCATACAATACACAAACACATACACACACATACACAAACACATACACACACAAGCACCCACGCATAAACACGCATGGGCTGCAGTGTGCGCTTACTATGAGAACTTAATTGCTTAATAACTTTTTTTATGAAGGTACGATCTTCATGAAACTTTCAGATTATGATTATAACATGAATATGCATGTAATTGCCAAAGCACAAGTCTCTAGTATTTGAAATACGCTTTTTACAAAAGTGATGGTGAGGGGGTGAATTTAAGGGTGGGGGGTAAATTTTAACAAAAACCAAAATTGCATATAAGCATACATAAAAAATTTGGAGACTCTAGCAATAAAGGTGTAGAAGATATAATTTTATAACTGGTTTTCGATAAGGTTTTTTATCGATAAAAAAGATCGGGATGAGTTATCGATTTTTAATGATAAACTTGATATGCGCGCTGTAATTACGGACAATTTAAAAAAAATTTGAAGTCTCTAGCTCTTATATCTTCTGAAATCGACGCGTTCATACATACGGACAGACGGACAGACAGACGGACAGGGCCAAATCAACTCAGCTCGTCGCCCTGATCCAGAATATATATACTTTGTGGGGTCTGCCACGCCTCCTTCTGCCTGTTACATACATTTCAACAAAACCATTATACCCTGATTTCCCATTGAAAATGGGTTCAGGGTATAATAAAAATGTCTTTGTGCATTCAATAGTAATATGCTAAATCTAGCTTGAAAGCTTGAAATAGTCTAACGTGGCATCACTAGCTGATAGCTAAAACGAAAACAATACTTGAATTATGCTTTATCGTTTCTTTCGTTCATTGCTTCCTTTCTGTACAAGCATCTGCATTCCGAACTGTTCGGTATGTGAGCAATGCTCGTTTTGTTTCGTTCGTCCACGATGCTTTGGCTTACACTATTTGAACAAAACGAAACAGTGTGAAACCAAGAACCACCAAGACACGGGTGTCTCGTTTAGCGTTTGAGACGTATTCGTGCAGGCCTCTAGTAATGACTTGCTTA